TCAATCAGTCTATTTAGGTCAAGTAGTCTCCGTATCCAACGTTACTGAATAATACAATCCGTTAGTTTGAGAATTAGGTTACAGTAACCTAAAAACTATTCAGAATATGACGATAAGTCTACGTTCGTATTTTGCTTCTAGAATATTTAATCCATCGTCATTTGCATACGTTTAATCGAATCAGATCGAAGTTTATTTACCTGAATACATAAAGATTGGTACGAAGGCGCACCAAATAGATATGCGCGACATAAATCATTCGATATGTGTGAGGTGTGGAATATTGTTCAGGTACCCAAACCAAATCAGGTGATTTTGTTAGGAGAGCAACTTAAGGAGATGCAGTCCCATGGTAGCCGGTGACCAACAATATGTTCATACACCATTTGTTCACTCAGGATACTGGGACTCATGTTCACCATTGGTTTGGAATCAGTGTTTATCAACTCCCCTAGGTGAACTCTCCATATCCACCAACCCGATTAAACAGCCGGACATTCACTTTTCATCCTCTCACTTTCGTATTTGAAACCCATACGTCGATAATGCAGTGAGTAGGACTGGCAGTGGTTGTATGTGTAGTAAGCCCAATCCACTACTATATTATTTGTCTACTCACTGTAATTTAGACAATTATTCCACTATGCAAATTTCTGTGTGAGTCTGATTGAGCACATTTCCGCACATCAATCTTCAACCTATTCTCCCATTGGTTGTAATACACAGACAATCAATAATTCATTCATACTTGATTAACATTGATTATTATATATATGGAATTTTAACATTCACACATACACACACACACACTTTTGCTTTCTCTGTGTGCTTGCTTCCTGTACGCTTGCGGATTTTACCAAACCTTAACAACAAACTGTCTCTATAACTGATGTTCAGGCTTTTGAATGATCTCAAATCAATCCATAATTCGAGTAGGAGATTAAATACACAGTTAACGGGATACTATTTGATGGAGTCAGATATAGAGGAAATTAGCCTCTACATATGCACGCGACCATGTGAGAGCATGCATTATAACACAAAGATGGATGGTGTCTAATAGTGGAATTCAGGAATCGCGTTTCGTCGTATTTGTGACTGAACAGCTGGATCTACATGCATCCCAGTGTTGATGTTGACTGTGAGACGTGAACCCACCACTGGTCGCTTCAATCGCTTCAGCGCATCATCAATTTACTTTCCTCATAAATAGTGTTTGTAATTTCCTTAACTGAATGATCTTTTCTGATTGTTTACACGACGTTGAAAAACCTCATCAAACATGATATGTGTCGACGAATGTTCGAGAATTGCCTATTCATCTGCATAGCATTCACAGTATGATAAAATGCTGTGTGATTTACCGAATCATTTGCTCAAATGAATATTGAATGTTGACATGTTTCTGTTGGGATGGCCCTCAGAAAGCGCAACGAAGCCACCAATGTCTGAGAACAAACCGATCATATTCTGTACAGTCACAGCTCGATAGAACTTTCACAATATCAACGTGACACGCTGTGGTCGGACAACTGTAGAGACTTATTTGAGCACTTTGTGGATAATGAAGATGTTAAAGCATTAAACCGAAAACTACAAATACACCTGTTTATCTGTACATTACGACACTCACTTCAGTGAACACGATTATGTAAACATAAGAATAACATAAATACATTTGTTTCACCCTACGAAATTAGATGAACTGAATGATAAAAGTTGTGCAGTTACTCCTCCTGATGTGGTCTCGAATTAGTGAATCGATACACAATTGGATTACTTATAAACGAGTCAATTGTTAAATGTTCCATTAAACCAGCACGTCCGTTCACGTCATACAGCTTGAATGTATGTTTGAATGATTGAATAATTTTGTGTAGTATGGAACAATGGATATTTGCAAATAACTATGGCGGTCCATGAAATTACCAACATCTGGATCACTGTATGTATCTAGACATGATTTACCAAACGTAATCATAGAAAACTGTATTGTTGACTATAGCCTCATATACCAAGTATTATATTTCTGTGTGGAAACTGTTTGATATTTAGTTGACACAAAATATGGACAATATGCCAACTCTAATTATAGTAATAATAATAATAATAATAATAATAATAATAATAATAATAATAATAATGAGATTATGAGATAAACTGTACTTGAATTAATGACTTAGTATTCATATGCGAGAGAGAGTAGTGTATTGTTTTAATATTAACGTAATAGTGAGATATTATGAAAGCTGTGTGTTGTTACAATGTGACTAATGAACAGGAGGAAACAAACAATGAATTTGCAAATATCATGTGTGAGGTATTTAGATGTTGGATTGTTAGGGTGAATTTGCAAATTGATTTGGTTTAGCTGGTTTGTCCGCTAGCTGGCAATCACCAGAGGAACATGTTTATAATGTTGAGAGAGTTGATTTGTTTGTTTTTTCTGTATCCAACTCAGGTAAATTATCCTTCGTTCGAGTAGACATCGCTGATCGACAAGAGAATGTCAAAGCAAGATTAGCTGCGTAGAATGTCCTGGTGGTTACTTTAGTTAATCTATATTTCAGAGTATCACTAGCCACATCCCCGTTGAATTGTACTTTCATGTATAAAGGTTTCTTACGAACAACCGAAATCTCCGACTTCTTTATTATGTCATACATGTACTTCTTAATGAAAGCATTGGAGTAGCCGATCTCGGTCAGTGAGTTGTTGATAAATTCAAGCTCTTGACTTAGAGTATCTACTGTACATATCTTTTTTCCTCTGCTAGTGAGACATCTGACCAGATTTCTCGTGTAGGGGATAGGTGTGAAACTGCAGAAATGAGTATATTGGCATGCAGAGAGGTTTCATCTATACACGCTTCTACTTAATATGCCGTCACTTCGTCTGCTTAGTGTGACGTCAAGGAAGTTCAGCTTATAGTCATGCTCGCTTTCATCAGTGAAAGTGATCGCTGGGTGAACATTGTTGAATTTTTCTAAGAGTTCGTCCTTACTGGTGTTTTGATCTACGATAATGAAGGTGTCGTCAATGTAGTGGCAATATAAATCAAGTTTCTTAATAATCTAATTAAGAGGTCCATTTTCTAGCTTTGCTAGGAAGAGATCGGATAGAATCGGGCCTAAAGGTGAGCCCATGGCTATCTCGTGTATTTATCTATAATAAGTGTTGTTGAAGATTACTTTTCCTAGTCTATTTACCCACGTTTGACCTTATATTCCCAACGTCTAACTATTGATAAGACTTTTGTTATCGTATTTTATTATTCTTACCACTATCAAAACACCCGCTTTCCTACCTTCAACTTGTATTTTTACTTACTATGTGTGGTGATGTATTCTATTTCATTGTGATTATTGACCCATATTGTCGCGAATAGTTTAACATTTTCGCATAAATACTCATGTATATTAGAATAAAGCCTGATGACGATCTAATTGAAAACAATATTGTTCGCTTATATGTGTTGTGTCATTCAAGTGCATTATTACAGGATGATGGATGATGTCTAGTAGTGGAATCCAGAAATCGTGTTTCGTCGTATTTGTGACTGAACAGTTGGATGTACATGCATCCCAGTGTTGATGTTGACTGTGAGACGTGCACACAACGCCGGTCGTTTCAATCGCTTCATCGCATCATCTATTTAGCTACTGAGTCTTTGTATGTTCAGAATTGTAGCGGTAAATAAATCCCCAAACTAAATAGCTCTGTAAATTTTCGACATTGGATGCTGACCATATGTTTTAGTGGACTCATCTAGCTGAAGGCGCTCGGTCATGCATCCGCACCAGATCACGTGTGGTAACGCTGTGCTCAGCATTTATCGCAATCGCTAGCCAGATTAGATCCGAGAATTCCGATATATTGGTTATCGCCAACTACACCACTCCGATCCCCTCGACCCTGTCTTTTGATTTCTCTCGGTGGGAACAAAGTATATTAGAAGGTGTTACTGGTAGAAGCGTTGTCAAACACTGAATACCTGTATCATGCTCATTGGTGAGCCCAACGTGATCTGATACACCTAATTCCAACCGTGAGTCTGTTCCAATTTGGGATTTCATATATCATTGTTTTATTTTTATATGTTTTTAAACTTTGTGATTTTTTTCGTGTTTTTTCTTCGATATATATATATTTCCCCTCGTTCATTATCGTACTTCATATCTCATCATGGCTGAACAGACACCCAAAGTACTCAAGCTTAAGACTTTGTCCCCACCTTCGTTTCAACTCATGCCTTTCTGGCCCGACAATATCGAAGCTTGGTTCTGCTACGCAGGAGCCGACTTCTCCGAGCACGGCGTGATCGACACACGTGCACAATTCCTCGCAGTAGTCAAGGCACTACCGTGCGAATTCAACAGGTGCGTAACACCTAGTATGTTTACTAGTGATGTTTACGAACCTTACGAAATCCTAAAACGTTCGATTCTTAATCGAGGAGACCTAACCGATCGACAAAGGTTAGATCAACTCTTCAATAACATCGACCTGCAACACGGTTCTGCGACGGACATGTTGCAACGATTGAGAGAAGTGATAGGCATAAGAACATTCGATGAAGGCCTATTCGAACAACTTTTCTTGTCTAAACTTCCTCAACAGGTGCAAGCGGTTCTGGTTTCGTTTCAGAACAACGCCTTAGACGAGTTGGCTGCATCTGCCGATCGTATTTTAGAAATAACGAAATCGTCTACTACAGAGGTATTTTCAGTCAAAGAAAACCTCACACGGCTCAGAATGACATAACCGAGTTATGTGATACACTCAAGCGCTATCTTAATCTTCGTAAGGACCGTGATCGCTCACACAGCTCACGTAGAAGCATTTCACGTAAGCGATCTGTCTCTAGACCACGAGAGACGGATAACCCCGACTGGTGCTGGTATCATAACCAGTATGGAAAGTCTTCCAGAAATTGCAGAAAACCATGCAATTTTCCCAACACGAAACCGACTGGCTCGAAAAACAACTCGGACAACTTCCTAGCCTGCACGCGTTGATGATGATGATGATGATGATGATGATGATGATGATGATGATGATGATGATGATGATGATGATGATGATGATGATGATGATGATGATGATGATGATGATGATGATGATGATGATGATGATGATGATGATGATGATGATGATGATGATGATGATGATGATGATGATGCATGTACATCCAGCTGTTCAGTCACAAATACGACGAAACACGATTCCTGGATTCCACTACTAGACATCATCCATCTTTTTGTTATAATGCATTTGAATGAAACCAATATTGAGGCAATCTGCATCGGATACACATTTGCTGTTAACAACGATGGGAATCTACAAGCAAACAATGCCATTTGAATTGAACTTTTTATTTGTGTAAATTATAGAACAGCAATACAGAAAATTTTCATGTTCACATTTCTTTTAATTCAACTAGTCCTAACAAAATTCGTAACTAAATTTACACACTGATTATTATGAAAAGGGAGTTTTTTGGATATTGTGGTAATTTTAATAATTGTGATCGTGAGTCAATTGAATCAAGACTGCCATGGAATATCTGAACGAAGTGGACGGCCATTTTGTCTTACTGTGGGACTCCTCAACAGTGCGCATTGTTGAGTCGGCTTTCGGAGAACTTCAACGGAGCTTCCAGCGGCCCAAAAAGAGCCGAAGCGTACTAGTCATTCAGAGCATGATGGAGAAGTGATAGGCATAAGAACTTTCGACGAAGATCTATTCAAACAACTTTTCTTGTCTAAACTTCCTCAACAGGTGCAAGCGGTTCTGGTTTCGTTTCAGAACAACGCCTTAGACGAGTTGGCTGCATCTGCCGATCGTATTTTAGAAATAACGAAATCGTCTACTACAGAGGTATTTTCAGTCAAAGAAAACCTCACACGGCTCAGAATGACATAACCGAGTTATGTGATACACTCACGCGCTATCTTAATCTTCGTAACGACCGTGATCGCTCACACAGCTCACGTAGAAGCATTTCACGTAAGCGATCTGTCTCTAGACCACGAGAGACGGATAACCCCGACTGGTGCTGGTATCATAACCAGTAGCGGCAATTCTGGATTACCGAGAAGCGACCAACGTCAAGCAATTACGAATCAGCATACGAAGGACCCTTCAAAGTTCTTCAACGCGAATCTAAGTACTATATATAGATACTTTGGAATTTATTTTTAATAAGCTTGATTATTCCAGATCAATCAGTCTATTTAGGTCAAGTAGTCTCCGTATCCAACGTTACTGAATAATACAATCAGTTAGTTTGAGAATCAAGATACAGTAACCTAAAAAACTATTCAGAATATGACGATAAGTCTACGTTTGTATTTTGCTTCAAGAATAATTAATCCATCGTCATTTTTAATTAGAAATGGTATAATTCTAGAAACAGTTGGTTTTCGTTATGGCAAACCACTTGTGGATAAGTCTGTGTTTACTTTGGTTTTAATCAAATTAGAGATAGAATGTGTAAAAACTTCATTTGCATACGTTTAGTCGAATCAAATCGAAGTTTATTTACCTGAATACATAAAGATTGGTACGAAGGCGCACCAAATAGATATGCGCTACATAAATCATTCGATATGTGTGAGGTGTGGAATATTGTTCAAGTACTCAAACCAAATCAGGTGATTTTGTTAGGAGAGCAACTTAAGGAGATGCAGTCCCATGGTAGCCGGTGACCAACAATCGGTTCATACACCATTTGTTCACTCAGGATACTGGAGCTCATGTTCACCATTGGTTTGGAATCAGTGTTTATCAACTCCCGTAAGTGGACTCTCCATATCCAATTTCGTAAACAAAATAGATACCTCGGAAATTGCATCATCCATTTAGCTACTGAGTCTTTGTATGTTCAGAATCATCATCACCTTCTTCTTCTTTTTCTTCTTCTTCTTCTCTTCCTCCTTCCTCTAAACCATCTAATTTGATACCTACATTCTGTCTATGTTGCATATTCTCGCTTCATTTTAATTAATTAATTCATTCATTCATTCGTCCAATAAATCACCTACCCTTGAATTAAAATTTAACTAAATAATGAAGTTCAATCAACGTCGTGCCATATTAACTACTTTCCAAGTGGAAATATGTAGGTCATAAAGATCATCGCTAATTGTGTAGGCAATTAGAACCACATTTCAATATCACATTCTTTATGATTATTCAATTGAATAAGCCAATTTATTTGACCACATAACAACAACTTGTATACATTTTTGATAGTTTTGTTGGAGTATACTCTAATTTATGAAGTATCGTTTGTTTTGTAATTTTATTCTCATTCAGTTGTTCGAGAATTGTGGTTTCTCATTGATGGTGCTTTGGTCAATGGTGAATAGGTACTGGGATACATCAAGATGGTTTCCGAGAAGTGACCCTCATTATATGGTGATTGCCATGATGAACCTTTGGCTAAAGGAGCATTGGATAACTATAGAAACTGCATTACACGGGTTCAATACGGTCTTCCTTCGACATACCGACAAACTCAACGAATTCAACAGAACTTTCAACAACAGTTTTCAATCCTTACAGGATCGACTGAAATTAAAAGAAACTACTATGTATCACAACTGGATAGGTATTAAAAACTCTAAATATAAAGTTTCACGAAGTTCCGGGCCTCCACATGCATCATCACAAGGAATGGATCTCTATGGAAACTATGGGCAAGATTCAAGAAAGAAAGAAAAAGAAGACAGCAATTAACAACAGCTTAACAAGAACAGAGACAGTCAAGGCACAAGCCGAATACACCGAAACTAATAAGCAAGTGATGATAGGTATTAAAGCGGACAAGTAGAAATATGTGGAAGAGTTAGAAACGAGAGCAAACAAAGCTGCAAGAGAGGAATATGCAACACAGCTATATGACACATCGAAGAAACTGGTAGGGAAATATGGTAAACCAGACAGACCAAACAGGAAAAAGAAAGGCAAGCTAATCAGCGAGATTCACGAACAGAGGAACAAATGCGTAAATCCATCAGACATCGAAGCAGCATACACAGACATTCTTATAGATGTTACTCCAACAACGGTCTAGGAAATCAGGATGGGCGTCTGACAAATGATGGGCGGGATGACACTGGGATCTGACAATATACCAGCTGAATCTCTGGAGTCAGACATAGTAGTAACTGCAATATGCTCCATGTTCTATTGAGGAAGATTTTCGAGGTAGAAAATGTGCCGATGAACATCGCCAACAATATACTCTAAAACAGGACAAACAGCTTCAAGATGAACAGGAAATGAGATTTATTGGCTGACTTAGGGTTGGGTGGCATACGATGGGGTAGGATGGCATAGGTCAACGTTGTGGAAATTCATACAGCGCATGACGATGCATGCTCTCACTAGAAATTTTGAAGGGAAAAGGAAAGGATTCAGACGAATGAACAAACGATCATTGGAATCGGAGACAGACAGTGAAAGTATAAACACCATTTGGCAGCAAATGGAAAGCAGAATACAAGACAGTGTAGACCTGAGATTTATAGTCGGTGGTCTATACCTCAACATGTACAATTTAGTACACTCCACTTGATCTGTAGTTAGCTTATCTATCTTCATAACTCAGTGGTCAATACATGATGCTTGAATCATGAAACCACTGATTTGGTGCAATTTCTTCCTCTGTGCTGACTGTTCCAATTTTGTAGCTCTCGTCCTCTCACTACAGGATACCATTATCACATATTTCCGATAGGACAAACCGCTCATTTCTTTACATACACCTACTCAGAACATTGTTTGAAAACAATCGGAAAAAACAAACAACTCAATTCTCTCAACATTATAAACATGTTCCTCTGGTGATTGCCAGCTAGCAGACAAACCAGCTAAACCAAATCAACTTGCAAATTCACCCTAACAATCCAACATCTAAATATCTCACACATGATATTTGCAAATTCATTGTTTGTTTCCTCCTGTTCATTAGTCAATTTAATCATCAAATTAAAGGTGACCAAAGTTCGTTCACTCGATCGACCAATCAAGTTTCAACATTCAACTATTAAAACCACAATCGATTTGATATAAATGAGTATCATGTTATTTTCTACCATAATGTAAACATCATGGATGATTAACATTTCTATATTCAAAATCAAGACTACTTATTTATTCCATCAGTAGTAGTTATATTAGTAATAATAATAATATATGAATCAATCAGCATTTCATCACTTTCACTACTTTCAATGAAATCATTTGTAAAATGTAAGCAATTTGTAGTTCGCTTTTCTCTTCTCTCAGTTCATTCTTCTTTTTCATGTATGTAGCATACATGGATCTCTATCATGGATCATTAATCCAACTGTATTCTCCCAAATACATCACCACATATCTTCATTGTTTCTTCTAAATGATCTCATAGAATTCATTGATAAACTGAATAGATAATTAACTGTTCATGTGAATTCATTCAATCTCTTTGAAATATTACCATAATACAGTACATGCTCTCATCTGAATGTTGTTTCATCCAAACAGCTTTCCACCATTGAACACTGTAATTATTGATCTATGTTAAGTCAATTGTGAAACATGCATAATAGATGTATTTTATTCAATATCATATTGTTAAAATACTTGTATACATAAACAATTCCAATGTTCTCATACATATATGTAATTACAATAATGATATAATAGAATATAGTTTCATACTGTACCATTGTTTTCGATTTTGTGAATAATTGGAACATCTTGTTGATTTCTCAAATGGTCTATTCAATGAAGATAAATTATTTGATGAGAATTCGTTAAACATGAACTTTGTCCCTATTTAGCACAAGTTGTCAGTACGTTCTTTTGTTTTATACAACACCATATCAATGCATTTTACTTCATTCTGTAATGAATATTCATTTAATATGGTGGTTGGAGGCAGTCAACAGGAAACCCTGCACCCGTGTCTCATGCTACGTGGCACTCGACAGGAAATTGTACCTGTTATCTTGAGGGAACTGTTGCCTCCTGGTTCACTCGATCCCGTGCCATCCAGCTACACAGTCAGAGATAGTCCAGTGATAACATCTCTGGTGAAGAGTTTCCTGTTGACCACCTCCAAACACCATCTTATCTCAACATATTGCACACAATGTCCAGTCACATAAACTAACTTCCACATCGCAACTTGATCGATAACAATGAATCTGCAATAAGAAGGACCTGCAACACATAGAATCGATCACCACCCACTGGT